AAAAAAAAAAAAAAAAAAAAATTCTAAATTTTTAAAACAATATTCAAAGTCCGTACATACCACGAACTTCATTACCTTACTACAATCAAAGAACAACACAAAAAGCCAATGACCAATGAATATCAAAGCACGCAAATTCCATCACATCTCTCTTTGGAACAAATTGCATATCAAAAAAATTGTCCTTTGTTTCATTGAGCATATTTCAAAATGAAATGAGTATCTTTTCTTAACACATGTAAAAATTAATATGGTAAATATCCATTTTTGTATTTGATAAATTGATAAACACAAATATTGAAACCAATTATATTTTCCATAAGGAAATGAACCACCAACAAAAAAATAGAAAATGACATATTGTCGCCCAGACACGTACAAATGTTTTTTTTGGAACATAGAAAAACAAAATGTGTTTTATGTTGCCATTAATATAGTTTTTTACTTTCCTCCTATTTTTTACAATACAACATTTTCCTGCAATGATCATCAAAAATTGCGAGAGTACTTCTTTTCCATATAATAAATATCTATGTTAAATCATCGATTAATTCTTTTGCCATTAAATAAATAATCTTTATTTTACAATATATAAGAATATCCAAGATCTATCATCTAAGAATAAGAAATAATTAGAGAATATATAGATTCAAATAAATCATTTTCAAAAATTATTTTATAGAATCATTTAAATAGTAACGATTACTTTCAAATTATTTTCATGAATCAAATTATACTAATTCATTCTAGCAGATGAACAGAATTTTTTAGAAGAATTCCCAATATCTATAAATTATATTTCGCGAATCGTATTATAATATATTTTTTCTATTTAAATTTTCTGAATAATTCATTTAAGATATTGATATTCATTTTCAAAAATCCGATAAATTTAATAAATATTCTTATTCAAATAAAAAAATATATTGAAAATATATCGGCATACATATTAAACCTTTCGCAACAAAGAGAATCAAAAAAACAATAAATCTTAAATACAATCATTTATATTATATTTTTTTAATAAAAAATATGAATAATTTCATTACCGATAAAATCTATATTCAATATTTTATAATTTAAAATTATATAAATTTTTGCTTATGGATAATATAATCTATCTTTATATTTTATAACGCAATATTATATAACCTATTTCTATTCAATTTTTTCATTCATTTTCTTCGAATACCGAATCGCAAGAACCATATAATCCTCTTGAAGACGAATCGAGGCCTACCAAGAATCGTATAACCTCCTTGCCTATTCCATAGAAATTTAGGGATCCATACTATATAATCATTAAGTTATACTCAAACCCATTGCCTAAATTATTCGATCCATTTCAATTATCAAAAAAAGAAATGAATCTTTATGAATTTTACTTTATCGTAACATATATTTCGAATTTTCATATAATATTATAATAGGAATTTTAAAGTTTTTCATCATAAATACGAATTGTGATTGAAATTTCATCGATAAATAATATATTTTCACTTAATCTTCATAGATCTTCAACGCGATATGATGATCTTTTTAGATCAATAGAGATCATGAGAGTCCTGAATTAGAATCCTGATAAAGTATAAATCAATTTAAATGAAGCATATTCTTTTATTGAAATTTGTAAGCAAAACTCCAAAAGCAATAAATCCGAAATCTGCGAAGGAACAAAGGTACTTGGTTTTATATTATCTTTTTGCATTTTTTTTTGGATCTTTCGTATTTGGTTTGCATCATTCCGTCATGCCGATGATCCAGGATATATAGGCAGGATGAAGCAGATAGCAATTGATTGCTTAGATAATTTTTTAGCTGGGTTTCTTGGGGGTTGCGCACAATTATGCGTGATATATTCCTGTTGGTTACTTTAATTTTCTGATCCGCTTCGGTGCTACTAACTGACGCCAAGCATTGCTGTAGTCAAAAGCGTAATTTCATGCTACGATGCTGTTGCATATGTTTCCCTTGGCTATAAACCAGCAAGGTGGCAACTCCTTGTTCAATTTCTCTTAAGCGTGTGGCAATTCAAAAGCCTCACGGAAGATCTGCTTGACCTGGGAGCTTCGTAAATTAAAGCTCATCATATGCCACAATGCGGCAAGGTATTTTTTGCAAAGGGATCAAAGTATCGAGACCCCACTAACGTGCCCAAGTAATTCCCCGAAACCTCAATGATGAAAGTGAGCCTGATGTAATCCTTATCTTTCCCAATAAGCTATATTGGCTATATATAACCCCAAACCGGGGGTATTTGCTGAAATGTCCGCCGCATTGCCCACAACGCTGTCTCAAGATACTGCGAATTTTTGAAAGCCTTAACCTAAGAAACGGAAGAATTAAAACCGGCGGGGCAAGCAACAGCCTGCAAAAACACATGAGCCTTTGTGAGGGGATTCAATGTTCGGGTTGGGTTAAAATCAAGACTGGAACACCTTTCAGACTTTGGAGGCATGAAGGGAAAGTCATAAATAAAGATTTTCCTTGAGAACCATACAAGGATTGCCGTGAGAAAATCCTCAAGCTAAATACTAACGTTATACTGTTAGACGTGTCACCGCTGACTTGGCAACATAGTCCAACCCCGAGCAAAAATTGAGTTGACTCTGAGCGACACGTCTTACTACCTTTACCGAACCTGCTACGCTTACCGGTAATTCGGCCCAGACACTGCTTCTGGCTGATCATGCATCATGTTGTGGCCAGCGTGGGGAATCTCCTGCTTACAAATACCAAAGCATCGCTACAAACTACAGCCACTAGTCTTTTTGAAGTTCTTTATCTTGGGGTTATATTGAGGTTAAATTTGGGACATATTTTGAATAGATTGGGGGTCTATGGGGATAATGGAAAATAACATGGAAACTATTAGTTTAGACGAAGGATTTCCTTGATTTCCAGACGTTTGGGAGTGGCAGCTGCAGCGTGCTTCAAGGCAGGGAAAACCACGTCGTTCCGCTTCTTGCTCAGAGCTCCGGCCACGTAGAAGAATCGAGGACCCTCCGCAAGCTGCATGAATTGCCTTTTGTGTTAACTGGGTCTGCAAGAAAGTCTTTATGTTTAATCTTTTCAACATGGCAAATGCCTAGAATATCGCAATGAATATCGTTTTGGACTTGTGCTAGTTCTATGCATGGTGCGTGATGCTGTGCAAGTGGGCAGGCGGGCTTGCAGCACAGCGTTCCATCAAAGAGCGACAGCAGGCCCTGGCCATGAACCTGCATCGTGGGTTGAACAATCCAAAAAGTTCCAGGAACAACCCACGCTACCGTTCTGTATTGTTCCCTTTAAATTCACAAAATATTGGCTGCTCAACAAGAACTCCGAGACCAGGTCCACTGTGAGCTGGGGGCTTCCATTGCCGGAAGAATCCAGTCTTCGCTCTCGAGTGGTTTTGGGCTTAGTGCCCAGTCTGCCGCCCAGCCGTCGACGTCACAGGGCATCAAGGAGCCCTCGAAGGAAAAGGCCGCCACAGGTAAGGGCTTGGGTGGTGCTGACTGCAGCCGAGCACGCAGCTCCGCTACTTCGGACTCTGGCAGGGAGCTTGCAGCCAAGTCTAAAATCTCCTTGGAGCCGCGATCTCGGTCTGTGGACAACAAAGCTAAGAGCTCCATAGATTGGTAAACAGCAGCCCCCCCAGCAGAATGGCCGGCCACTGCATAGGAGACATTGGTGGCGGACAGGTTCAAGGCTTGCGAGAGCACCCTTGCAGGGTTCTAGCATTCAGCTCACATCAGCAGCATGACTTCACACATACATGCTGAGCAAGGTGAAATGGTACCCTACACAGGAAAACTTGTAGTGACTACTTTCTCGAAGGACAAGCACAACCGGCTCCTGAGCGTTGCCGTGCTTGCGAAATCCACCGATGCCTCAGGCTGGCTCCTGCTGAATGGCCGGTACTCAACCTCAGAGATTGTTCTTGAGGGTCCTTGCAAAGGATGAAGAGCTTGGAGAAAAACAGGGGTGAAGACTTTTAGGCCTAGTGCAATTCTGCAACCTGGCTGTTGAGCGAAAGGCGGCTTTCATGCCGTGCGAACACTCTGACTTTGTTCTGGACTGCAAGCTCGAAGCAAAACTGCATGGCTTGACACATATCATACTTGTTCGTATCCTGCTTGATCTGCAAGCTTCATCCACGTACACGGCCTTACAGTGCGCTGGTTTTGCAGCGTGGCGCTCAGGAACCACGTTACAAAAGTGGCCCACCTGCTCATCTCAAGGATAAGCTTAGGATCCCCGCTCATCAAACACAAACCTTTACCGGCAATCATCATTGATAGCCGGGGGAGGAACTATGGTCAGGATCCAAAGAACATGGCAGCTTACTCCGATTTTGACGTGAAGAACACTAACATTAAAAGCGCTGGTCAACTTGAGGGTCGAGTCACCGGAACCAGCACTGCATCTTCTGGAAGCACGGATGACCTCCAACGCGAGAGCTAGAAACTCAAAATAGATCTAAGGATCCACCCTACAAGCATGTCCGTGGGTGGATAATATGATCTGATTTTAAATGAGGTGTCTGGTGTGTTGCTAACAGAGGCTGCAAAATCCCAGGAGGATTCTGACAGTCTTTGAGAGTAATTGCTTCTACTGATGAATTGCGTGGCGTCCGAAAGCTAATTTTTTTCGGTGATGGTTTCAAGAAGATCGTCCCACTGTTTTGTTTAGATAGTGCAGAACGGGAGCAGGATGGGAGGATGAATAACAAGCAACTAACCTCAGTTGGCGTCATCAACTCAGCAGTAATTCAATCAAATGCCTTGCGCAACATTAATCGAAGTATAGTGGCAGTCATCATATACGGTGGGGTTTTGACTTGCAGTACCTTAACTGGATACCAAACATCACACTCACCAAAGCCCATGATGATGAACTTTACCTCATATGCTGCTGAGTTCAAGGGCATGACAAATCTCATGCAGTTCGACGAGGGGAGTCTCCTTTGCTCTCACACCATGCTCCAGCGTAATTTCGAATGCAATGCGATTCCTGCATGATTTCTTCGGTTGAAGAGGACTCATAGCTTTCGCTTCAGATGTCACCTTTTCCTACGCCCCTGGCCTTGTTGCAAGGAGCGGGAAAGCTTCTGAACAAACTCGAAGCAGAATCAAGCAAATAGAGGAAAGGTGTGGCAATGCGCACCAGATGTATCTTTGAAGGAAACAAGTGCTGGGGACAGAGGGCATGTGGCTTTACGTGCACAGAATCATGTTTATTCTCTCTTCAGTGCTTCGTGCGTGTAAGGGACGCTGTACATCTTTCAAGATGCACTCACTGTTCGCGTCCAAAGGATGACGAGCTGTTTGAAAAAAAGCAGTCCCCTAGGGAAAAACACTTGGACGAGCACAGCGGATGCCGGAGTTAAGAGTTTACTCTGCAGGACCAGTTTGTTCCATCTGCCAGGACCTCACACTGGAAATCCAGCTTCCTCTGTACTCACTCAAGATGGGCAAAGGAAGCCCGAGGTAGCACATCAGGGCGCAGGATATCACATATGCCTCATGTCAATAGCCGTGCACCTGCTAAGTCCCATACCTGTTACTGTGGTGGCTGCAACTACAGCATATGGCTCATGCATGGCTCATGCAAGCACGATTTCTGGCTATTCAAGTCGGAATCAGCTGGGTGGCAGACCAGGGGGCAGCCGTCGAGAGGATGCCAGCTGCAAAAACTACGTGCACAACCATGGCGACTGCCTCTTCGAACTTTTCTAGCAGTTTTTGAAACAGATTTTCATTCCAACCAAACTTCCCTCAGTCAAAGCCTGATGCAACTCTACGCGACGACTGCTTGAACCAAATCTAACAAGCAGGAGCTTTTCAAGACTTGGCTGCAAGGTGGTGGATTGACATCTGCACGTTTGAGCAAGTGGATGCCTGGAAGCTGCTACCCTAAGCGATTTCCATTAGCACACTGGGAAGAACTTACTTTCAGGACAAGAAAGTCGGCAGGGCCCAGGTCGGCGGCCAGGTCTCACAAGTGAGGACGTCACACCGCATCCATTTTTCCATGCTATACTGGTGTCACACTGCGCCAGAAAATGGCAGAACAGTGGCGCAGTGGGCCGTGGGCTCTGCATCATGACAAATAAACATAGACTGGCGTAGATTAGCTGGTGATTGCTGGAACTTAGGCCCAACAGCCTGCGTTGATCGACTTCACGGTCAACAAGCACTGATGTGCTCTGAAGATGGGTGAATTGGCTGGTTAAGTGTGACTCCCTCGGGCACTGATTAAAAGGCCCCCCAGAGACAGAAATCATATTCCCCGGACCTCTTAAGTCCTATGACTCTCCCACCCGAATTTAGAACATGCCCGGAACAAGCGGCCGGCGCGTCCAGGCGAAAAATTCAGCCACTCAGCCAGCTGTTCTCAAACTAGTCCGGCATGCCCGAACGAAGGGTGGCCACCAAAGCTAAGGTTGGCATTGAACGTCAGAAACTTGGTATGGAGACCGACGACTCTGCATTGGCAAAGAGCTCAGACGTGACATCCATAGCTACACGGGTACAAGGCTGCACATGTAGATGCTGGCAAGCTAGGCCTTTAGACCCTTTCAGTAGACAGCATTGGGGTGCCTGTATTCAGGCCTTGGCATGCCGGATTAACGCGGAAGGATGGAAGCCAACCGATTTTCAGGTAGGCGAGCTTCGCGCTGTAAAAGACGGGACTGATGGACCTTACCATCGTGCCTTGCAGCACTAGCGTGGGCGCAGTAACATCGTGGCCGGTGATGATAATGTTGGCAGGGGCCTAACTATGTTTTACATCACGCGTGAGGAACAAGGGACCTATGCAAAATGCTATCAAGACAGCATCTGCGGCAACTCATATCTCAGCTTCCCTTGCACATGCAAGGTTATGCGGCAGTACCTCAGGACTGCTGGCAAGACACGGACCAACATCCACGTCCGTGCTTTCCCTGACGTTCCCATTAGCCGATCTTTGGCTGTCCACTAACATGCCATGTCAAGTGGCAGTGGCCCCCTGCAAAGAAGCTTGAAGAGCATGCTTAGACCGGGGATCTTGCTCAAAGTCATTTCTTGATACTGACACAATTTCCGGATCATTGCAAGCCCAATGGAACCTGAAGCAGGGCTGACGGGACTCCAGAAAATTGTTAAATGAAATTCCTTGCCATCAAAAAGACCTTACATAGAGCTCCAGATTAGACTTTACAACAAGGTCTTGGCTTGGGGTTTGGACCAACCTCCAGCTTAGCTTCTTTGGACAATGTGGATCAGCACAACTAGCATGAGGACAAATGCAATCTTCGGTGAGATTCAGGAACTTAATCAATGCCAGATGCAGATGGTCTCCTTACCCCAATATTCTCTGTGGTATTCATTTGCATTTGTCGAATCTGACTTTGGAAGCTGGTCCCCAAGTTGACGTGTAAGACCCAACAGGTGGCGCATCCCAAGCCGCCGGCTGAAAAAGGCCCCATCATCTCACAGCTGGCGCCTGGGTGCCAAAAAAAGAAGTCTGAGCTGCTCCCGTCAAGGGCAGTACAAGAAGCATGTTACGAAAATGTGACAGGTGTGACAAGGCCCATGCTGCTTCCGCGCTTTCTTTTTTATCGGGGTATACGGCTTTTGATAAAACAGCTTCGCGCAGCATCAATGGACATACTTTTAGCGGGGGCTTCAATGCTTTACAAAGTAGTAAATGTCACTGTTCAAGAGTCTTGTCAAGACTTTCAAGCTAGTGAAGGAAGCGACATACACGGTCCTGAAATGACTGCACCATGAAGCTTGGAAGAGAAAAGCAATTTCCCATGATGCCATACGCTGCCTTGAGCGAATCACTGTGCAAAGTGGCTGAGGACTAAAGTGTCACCAGAATGCCAGGAACCCCTCATGTACAAACAAACCTCATCTCATTTCAAGCAGGCCGGTCCCTGGCCTCATCGGAGCAGAGTACCTTGCAAGATGTTGCAAGGTAGAAAGACTGGTGGTTAATAGGGAACTTACCATCTTCGAAGGAGGACACACAGTACTTCTGTAACTGCATGAAGGCTTAATCCAAACGTGTTGGCAAGAGCATTTAGAAGTTGGCGAGTTTCGGCTTACCCTGCACATGCTAGGCAATACGTGACAGGGATCCTTGTTGATTGGAACATTATCTTACTAATGGTCTGTAAGGAGTAAGGGAATATGTTATATATGTATATATATATGTATGTATAGGGATTTTATTCTCTTATCCTGTACTAACCACCAGTAAGAAGGACCTTGGACCACCTGTGGTTTTATTTCGTGCCTTGAACAAACATGGTGCATGAAGTGCTCCTAGCTTTGATGCATGCGTTGGGCTGAGACGGCGGGGACCTACAACCAGCAACAGATGCGCAGGTCTTGCACCAAAAACTTGCCAATACACCCATAAAGTTCGCCTTTGCAAGAATAGATTTCCATCAAACCCAGATCCAAAGAACACAAGCTCACCTGGTCAAGACTTATGCGCCAGGCCCTGCGAAACTCCCAGCTAAGCTCGGCACCAGAACTGTTGGGCCAGTACCTGTTCGATGAGGGTCATGTTCTCCTCGAGCTTGCAAAAGGCGACCTGACACCTGAGTTCGACTTTGAGGCTTCCAGGAGGTTGAAGGTTTTCGCACGGGAAATGCCGTTGCACGGAGGGGCTCCCCTTGGAATTGACAATGGCATGTACCTGAAACTGGATGGCTCGACCTCCTAAGATTGTGCTCATGTATGCTTGCTTGAGCTTGCTCGGATTGCCTGGAATAGATTGCACCGGCCGTTGACGATCTGATTCTGGCTGTGTGCATCGTTCCTGTTGTGGTTTGCTGTAGGAGTCATACTGCGCAATATTAGGGAGACTAAGCATCAGACTCCCAACATCCATGAAGACCTTCCAATGAAATCATAGGCCCGCGCGCCACATATGCTGACAATCCTCAGGTCCTCACATTTATTCCTACTCTCATTGATTGTGCCTTGTTGAGTTGCATGGCTGGGATGGTTTGTACAGGCAAGCCTGGTTGCTGAAACTGGTGAAACAATTCTGTTTTCAGTTGGTACTGTTGTGATCAGAGTTGACGTGGTGGTGGTGGCGGTGGCGGCGGCGTCAGTTTTGCTTGCGGTGGTTGCTGTTACCGTTGCAGCTCTTGAGATTGTTGCTACTGTTAATGCGGCGGCAAATTGTGGTGCTGTTGTTGGCGCTCCGTCTGGAGCTGTTCCTCTTCTTGTGTGCTTGCTAACCATAGACGCAGTTATCTGACTAAATCTTATGCTTGGTTTGTTGAAGTATGGCCAGGGCATGTTCTTTCATATAATTAAGCTCCGCACCGCTTTTCAAGATCGCCGAGGCTGACATCTAAGTCAAACTCTTCAGGTAGTCCGGCCTCAGGCATTGGGACACCGTTTCTAGTTTTGGACCGCTGGAAGATGACTAGCAATGATTCTGAAATGCCACTGAGAGCAGCAGAAATGACAAGATGGTAACATTAGTGCAGCTTATTGTCGTAGGGTAGCTTCACAGTGCAAATAATCAACGATATCCTCAAATTAAAAATGTGGAGCCACAGAAGCAGCCTTTCGGGGTTGCGAGCTAGCTTCGGAGAGGCAAGCCCTCCGTGTGGATTACTGTTCAAAAACATGAGTGCAACTTCTCATGAGAGCTGCTCCCGCGCTTGCAAAGCAGCGGTGTGGCTACGGACTGTCACATTTCCTCTTTTCTCCTGTTTTCTCAAAGAAGTGCGACATCAAGGAGACCTGGACACCAAGTGCCAGCGAAATGTAAATGATTATGCAATGGCCCTCCCCACACAACACGCACTGAATACCAAGCTCTGTGGCTTCAAGAGTTAACTGACCTTCATTCCTATTCCTCTATGAAGAAACTTGATTGCTGTAGACCTATAGGGAAGCCCACACTTGAAATACTAGAACGCACTCCTAACGTTGACAACACCAAGGAGAACCCCTTCTCGATGCTTCAGGCAGGTCTCAAGACGACACCCTTTTAATCTCGCAGCAAAAGTCAATCCCATCAAATCCAGCCCTGAACCCCCATATAGGTCTAACTTCAGGAACGATAAGAATACACATAGCAATCATACAGTAAATAACAAGAAAAAATTTAGGACCAAGAATAAGCGTCAGAAAGCTAATATACCCCGCTTGAACACTTTTTACACGAAAAACTCTCTTAAGCCCGCTCCTGGAGACCGAGAATGTAATGGCTCTCGTCCAGCTCCACTTGCTTCAAATAGAACATGTTTCTGGCAAATGTGCTGCAGGTATTCTGGCTTTGTACTAAGACTCTTGTAGTTGTTGTAGATCTTTCAAGCATTGAGGTGGTCAGCCGTCTTCATTGCCCTTGTGCTTAGCCGTGCAAAGTGGGAGTAAGAGGCAAACAGAATGATAGCTCTGCTTGAATGCATGTCAATCCCTTTCTTTTGTGCAGTGTAAGTGCTTCTGTGAAAGCAGTAGCGTGTGCTGGAGCGGACCTCATTAATTGTGTCCGCTCATGCACCACAATCTTTAAAGGATTTCAACTAGTAATAGTAATAGAAGAAACAGTAATAGTAGTAGCAGGAGTAAGAGTTTAGTACTTGTAACAGTAAAAGTTACAGTAATAATCTAGTACTAGTACTAGTAAAAGTTGCAGTAATAGTCTCAGTAATAATAATAATAGCCCATTCTCAGACCTTTGTGACCTGTTCTGTTTTCTGAGCTGGAGAATTTGGGTGGTTATCAAAACTGTGGCCCTTCAAGCTGTTCCAGTGAAAGAGCAACGGAAGTTTTAAAAGTCTGAAATTCAAGTTCGCCTGTTGTATGTTCCTAGACTTTCTTGTAGAGCATGAGTATGATAGAAGACCAAGGAATCACGGGGAACGAAGAAGCCAAATTTGGGATCACTACTTCTTAGAAGGTGCCACAAAGACCTTGAGGCGCTCGGCGCCTGAAATCGACCTGGGGTGGTAAAGTCGGATACATGGTGCGCTTCGTGCCCCAGGCGCACGACCGCAGAAAACCAAAGACAACATGCTCTCTTGTCCGCATGGCTCATTTTACTTCAAAAGAAAGCACAGGACGTGAACGCAATTGCCTAACAAGTCTCAACCACCGATCCCTCATGTTGGGTTGAGTTTCTGCCTTAGGGTTTCGGGGCGCCTGAACAGTTCGCCGGACTTCCTGGCGTTTGTCTGCACCTTGGGCTTTGAGGCTGGCAAGGGGAGGGCATTGAGCCTTGCCTTAGTATCTGCAATTACCGTTGCTGCATTTTTGTGGAACTTCCTTACCAGTATGATTACTGTTGTTGGGTGCGGAAGGGTCGTCGGATGCAGAACATAGCTTCAGAGGCTTTCAAGCTGATCACACTATAACGCAGCAACGATGATGACCAGATGTTGTCAAGAAGTGTTCATAGCTATGATTTTCTTCTGGAGTGCATGTATGCCTGAGCCTGAGCCTACGAGACGCAGGGGCTCCGAAACCCTGTCAACTGGAGGAAATGTGCTCACAAGCAATCCTGCAGTGTGAGTACCAGCGCACAAGCGGCGGAGATTGAAGCCCACTGCCTATTTGAACCAAATTCTACAGCTCATGTATCAAAACCACTTCATTCTTCGCTAGGGGCAGAAGTGAGCAACTATGGGCATCTGACCATGTATGTGCAGGTTGTCTGATGCAGACCTGCACGGACAAACTTTACGAACCGCAATGCAAGAGGTCGGGAACGCTACGCTGCACCTTAGTCCGGAACTGCGCCAAGCCCTAAGCCCCAAACTCAATTATTTTCAAGTGATCTGGGCTCCCAGCACAGATCATTTCACCCTTTGGCAGCTCGACCCACGGCCTGAGGCGGTCTCGAACGTCCGTTTTTGAACTAACTTGCTGACCACCTTAAGCCTGGAGGCGCGGCGGATCCAGCAGTGAAGGTTCTGTAGAGGTGCCCTGGATTTCTTCCCAAAAGCCCTAGATCCCGACCCCTACCTCGTAATGGTTCATGGTTTGCGGTGGCTCATTTGACAGCCCCCCACGAGGATTGCAGTGGCTCACTGGAGAAAATTGCCATGTTGGAAGTCCACTGGTCCCGATGAGCCGAGATCCGGGCTTCTGTAGCCCGTCAGGCAGGTTGTCAGGGGCACCTTGCATCAAAAACCCTGTCACTGTAACAAGAGCTTTTGAAAGCCAACACTTGAGTCCACGTGTCTGGCTTGTAATTGCCTTTTCAACAAGGAGACGTGTTCTTCTTGGGCAGCTCCTTTACACATCCTATTTAACCAAATGAGGCTGCAAATTTGACACGTGAATGTGTACCAAATCAAGACTCGTCTAATTTGAGACCACTTCTTGTGCGATTATCACTGGAACACCATGTACCTGTCACAGCTCCAGATTGCTTGATTCTGTTTTTCTGCAGAGGTGGCAAGATGTGTGCGCAGGAGGAGCTAGATAATAACCTCTACTCTCGTCAAACCCATGTTGCTCAATTTTGGCTTGTCGTGTCGTGTGAATCGGTTGTGGCTCTTCACAGAGACAATCCACACCTCAAGTAATATTTACCGACCCGACTTAATTCTACTTGAGAGCCTCTAAAATGCACCTTCGCTTGACAACCCTAAGCATCACGAGAACAGATCTGCGAAATGGCCCGGCCTGTGTACTCCTCACCAACTGAAGAGGACATGCAGAACCTGGCGAAACTCACATGCATCTGCATGCTCTCCACACGTCCGCACTCAATCGCCTGAGAAGCGAGGTCAAGCAAGCATCATCGTCATCACGTCAGTCGTTAGTTTTGTGAAAGGCGCAGATATGACTAGGCCGTAAGGCCCGAAGACCCCACGGATCAGTCAAACACGACTTTTCTTCTACAACTTCCCGCCAACATCCCCCCCCTCCCGACAGTGAACACACCAAATATTTAGTACCGTTGTATAGTCTGGGAGTATTTATGTGGCTTTACGAAAGCTGCCTCACATGGTTCCATCAGAACTGTGTTCACAGGTCCCCTATGTATCCCGCATAGTCCAGAATCAAATGGACAGGAAAATAGTGAGGAAATGGAAGCTGCTATCTAGGGCACATTTTTCATGATAATTACGCAGTAATTCTCATTTTCTTTTCCATGCTTCCCTATACAACTCTTGTGATTCTTGTGGTCTGATGGACCAAATCCTGCATGACCCTGTGCAGCTACACCCTGCAAATTATGGGATGACAGTAGGGTTTGTCAGGTTCATGCAAGATTTTGTCCATCATGCCTATCTACTAGAACAGCCCTGGTCTTTCTCTCTCAAATAAGTCGGGCGGACGCCCGACACTTCACTCGGGTGGCCTCCTGAGAGTTGGATGTTGCGTTGAGCGTGGTGTGCAGGGTCTGGGAGGCTTACAGGGTTTTGTACAAAGAGGTGCAGCTATCAAGGAAAGTTTGGAATATTCAAACATCCAAATGTGTGCAACGAGGCAAAGGCCGGTGCAAGCAGCACTGCACTTTGCTCTGTATGCGCACGCAGCAAGATCTTGACAGCCTTGCGACTTGAAACTTGAAAGTGCTGTGAGGATCCGGATGCTCCCAATGGAAGAGGGAAAGGACTTGCCCAGCCTCAGTGCTTTGCAAAAAACTGGGTCGTGCCCCTGCGTTGGCAGGGCGCATTGGGCTAAGTGGGCTGCAGTTTGGAATGAGAAGGCGCGTTGGAGCTGCCGTCAGCAGCCACCGCTGCCAGTGCCACAGCCGCATCCACACATGCAGGCATACATGCACCCGCAGGAGCCCACAGACTCTTGAGGCCAAATCGAAGGCTCAAAGCCAGCGAAGAAATCACAAAGTTTCTGCTGGGTGTCGCCATGCTTTTTGGCCATCTTCGTCTTCTGCTGCTTCTGGCCTTCACAGTCCAGGAGGAGATCTGCGGGGTCCTGGCGGAGCATGTGCCCGAAGACGGCCAGACAGTCCTTCTCATACTTTTGAGGGTAGAGGATGTGAGCGTGCCAGGCATCACCTACTTGTTGGGGTTGGCGCCCATGCCCACCATGATCACGTACGTGCGGTACTCCTCCACAACCTTTGCGTCTCTGGCTTCATAGTCCTCCTTCTAGATAAGCCGGGCGATCACGGGATCCATGTCCAGTGCGTTGACCTTCTCCGAGAGCTTCGCGAGGCGCTCGGTCTGTTCGGCAGTCAGGCTGGGCTTGGAGTTGCACGTAGCCAATTCTTGGCTTAGCAGCTCGCTGCTTGGCTTCTTCAGGACAGCCATGAGAGCCTCGTGCGTCGTCTGCTTATCCTTGCGGCTCTTGCCCTTTTGCAGGGTGCTGGTGCCGTTGTCTCGCACTGCTCCGGACATGTTACTGAGGTTGCTCAAGCCATCGTCCCACAGATCGGCCTGGTCATGCTTGAAAGTGCCAATCCAGGTGCGAATGCTGTAGATCTTGCCGTCAGCGTCGACTTCATAGATGGAGACCTCTATCTTCAGGAAATTGTGAATTTCCATTGCGAATGCACAGCCGTCGGTGGACATGAAACCACGAACTTGCGCGGCATCTCAGTACTCTTCGAGAAAGACCAGAACAACGTCTACACCATCGTAGTCAATGGGCTTGTTGTGGTTGTGTGCATCTACCACCATTTGCAGATTCTTCGCAGGGAGCGCATCTCAGCATCCTGGTTTAAGCCTGCCATCCAGCTTTCCATGATGGCCTGTGCGGTTGCATGCGGCACAAGCCCTGGGGTAACTTTGCCAGGCCCGAGCGCTTCTGCCCCAAACTACTAAGAACCAGAGCGTGAGGGTGATAGCGACGGTCTTCATAGCTTTCGGTGATCTCCGAGGAGTTGACAGCTTTAAGTTTCGAAATTCGGGAGTGCTTGAGCCTCAACACCATGCAGAAGATCTCAGGAGAAAGTCGCGCGGTCTCAGGTATGCGTGACAGTTGTAACTAGGTGAAGCTTGTGGAAGCTTGCGTGAAGACTTGAAGCAAAGCTCAAGCGTGCAAACCTTTACACGCACTCAGCTGCAGGCATCGATGAGATTGGAGGGCACGCCATTGAGTAGGAAGCGGCAGTTTCGCCCCACAATCTCCTGTACCTGTCTCGTGCGAAGATCTTCGGCCACAAGCAAAGTCGCATCCGCACTGGTCGGCAGGTCAAGTCACCAAAAGACTGCTAGACCCCTCTAACGATTCCAACGTAACCTTTTGTAGTTACTGCTATTACTACTATTACTACTACTATTACCATTACAAGTATTTCACTTTCTCCTTTTCACCACCACTTCCTCTTAATGCCCTCGTAAGGCATTCCGTGTTCACAGTCTCCTTGGCCAGGCTGAGCTTAGATTTTTGGCGTTTCATTGACATAGGAACTTCTCAACATAACTCATCCCATGGACTTTAACCTTCCAGGGAACATGATACCCCTAGACCTTCTAGTGCTTTGTCCCTGAGTTGCTTCATAGTTGAGGTGCTTCGACCTGCTATCCAAGTTGCTAACTCTCAAGCTCTGAACCATCAATCCCTGGGGTGCAGAGTAGCCAGTGAGCTCCGTGAAGCCCGCGCTACATGCGATGAGGGGGCAGTCCGGCTTGGACCTGAGGCTTCTACCGTGGACCGTAGTCCTAGTGGGGCAAGACATGGAAACACGGTGTCAGGCTTCTTGAAACACTCCGTCTTCAGGGTCTATTTGCCTACAAAACAAGGTGTTGGGTTGCCAATGTAAAAAAACTCTGCCTGGGCAACAGCTGCAGGTTTGCAGAACCTCAGAAAAGCCTTCTCGTACTTTGTATGAAAAATGCAAGAACAAGGAATTCTTTGAGCAGTGCCACGACAGTCATGCTGACCACCACTCAGAGTAGCTTTGGCCACTACAAAACAAAACCCAAAGGATTTCCGTTTTCACAACCTATTTCTGTATAGCTGGGGCATGTTCATTGCATCAAAAGACGCTGCGATTTGGGAAACAGTCAATCCAGACGTCCCCAACAACGTTTTACATAACCTGAGCCCTAAATGCTGTAAGCAAGTTAGCCTGAATGCGTCATTCTTCAGAGCCTGCAGAGCACTCAAGAGAAGTCCACGTGACATCAAATCGGTGTGGCAGCACAATTCCACATCAAGGTTTAGCAGCCGAACGTCTGGGTTGTCAGAAAGTAACAGCATAGGAACAAGACAATCCGCGCAAAGAGCTCCATAACATGCTGTTTTCGGCGTTGCTGAAGTGCCACCGTAGGCTACCCTCGTACCCCCAGCCCGTGTACCATTGCTTCGCTGAGTGCGCCGCGGATCTGCGAGAGTCACTGAGAATCCTAACTCATACCTGGCATGGCAAAGGTACGCCTTCACGGAAAGTGCCGAAGCATGGAGGAGACTTGTAGAAACGTATGAACACTTGCATTTTGAGGAAGAAGCTCCGAACGAGGATGGATCCAGGTCTTGACAACATCACAAACCAACTTTGTTGCCACGAGGGCAATTTGCAGCCTAGAATTCTTAGCGCCGCTACTATCTTTAAGATTTCTGCAGAACTGCGCACGTTTAAAGCAGCGCACTTTTGTACTGCCAAGGAAAGAAAGCCTAACCGCAACCCACAACTTGAGCAAAGTCTGCAAATTGCAACCTGCCCACACCTTTCAAACGTTCATGCCGTAGATCTTGCACAAATGTTAAAAGCCAAGCTTGATGTCTCTCGATCCTTCGGGAGCCCTCCGCGGCAAAACTTTCAGGGCCGTCATTGGGATCCTGCATGCCTTCGTCCAGACAGTGGATGTTTCCTGTGATCTCCTACCTTCAGCCCTTCAGCCCTTAGCCTGTAATACCTGAAGCCTCATGCCCCGCTTGAGTTAGAGAGGCTCTTCACTGCCAAGCCAGGCCCGGGAGCACAGCTCTTCGATGCAGAAATTGTCGATAACTTTCCTGAGGTTCTTAGGCGGCCGAGGCAGGATTAGAGAGATGATATACATGTCTGAAATAGGTGCATGGAAAGGTTGCGATGACTTCTAGGGTATGCGCGCAGATTTTCTGGAGGAACGCGACGTGGATGCCTCAACAAATACTGCTGATCTCCGCAAGCGAAATACCATGCTTTCCTTCTGATGGAACATCAAGGGAAATTGTTTGACATTTAGCTGAACGTAACCATAGTCAAAATGTGATACCGCCTCCGCTCCACATGAGCTATAGTCTGAACCCCTAGTATCCCCCTTTATAACTCCTAAAATATTCTCCTATATAACCTCCTATATAACCACCCTTTAAGGAGTTTAGACTCCAGCTCACATGGAAGTACAAGCTGGGTGGTCCATTAAAAACGTGGGACAATCTTACCCGGTAATCTGCACAATGCTTGTGAAGGGATTCATCTCTTCCAATGCCAGGGCCCTTGGATTCCGTAAACCGCGTCAATCCGTGAGCATCAAGCCCAATACACCTTAATTAAGGAATACACCCTAAATGGTGAGCCTTGCGAACGCTACAAGAGTAAGAGCCAAAGGAAACAGCGACTTCATACGTGGTAGTTTCCCAAAGTAGGGGGACCCCAATATATACCCAAATATACTATAATCCTTATGAAGGGGACCCCCAAAATGGTACCCCTAATTTTGGGAAACCCCCTCACTTAAGTCCCAGCATCTGAAGCTCGGTGCTGCATCTGGTATTCCAATGCAGGGGTCCATGAGAGGACTCCTGGCCCACAGCTTCACATTGAAGAGTTTGAAAACCAAAGTCCCCCGTACATGGGGTTTTCTAAAAAAACCTGGGATCACTGTTGGTGGGGTCTTTAAACTTTGGGATCACCGGACCCTGGTTTTTGAAATCTCTCCTCTTAAAAGAGGGCTAGGCTCCCTTAGTGATCCTGGGTATTTGGGAGCCGCTCCTCGGGATGACATCGTGGATGCTTTGAGAAACAACCAACGCACAGAATGGTATATCACATGTGCTTACAGGGGCTTCAAGAACTCACACATCTTAAGAAACATCTGCAGACAGTCTTGTGGTTTCAGGGTGAGAAGTTGTCGGATGTTGATCCCTAGGAAAAAAATTCTTGAGATGGCAGATCCCAGAAGCAGGTGAAGTTTCTTTGTTTGGGGTTCCGTGGTGTCAGACCGGAAAGTTTGGCAGGCAACTCACCTTATGATCGTCTTGATGCAACAGATGGGCGTAGACTCTTCGCAAGGCCCCTTTTTTGGAAGGCCTCCTTTTCCATATCCTGCCAGAACAGCTGAGCAGCACCAGGCTTCCCAAGCACCAGCTGTGGAGCTTTCTACCCAGACGCTGCAAATCTCAAACCATGTCCACATAACACCAGCCCCCTAAACGACTACCTTCCAAACCCTCAGCCGTCCTTGTGTCATCAAGACAGGGGCAGGATGGAAACAACAACTACTACAGCGGAGGATTTAGTAAGTGACGGTTCGCCCATATCATATATTATCCTTAAAGAATCCCTACATAACATACTCCCTTATTCCCTACTAACTCCCAGTAAGGTTTGGACTGTCAAAATTCCCAAGCCATCCAACTGGCCCCCGTGTGCTGCCTGCCGGGAGAACTGTCCAGCAGCCTGCGGGAACTCAAACACAGCTCTCCAGGGCTTCCACGAGTTTGTAATAGTAGAAATACAAATTATCGTAGTAATGCTGTAATAGAAAGAGTAGCAATACTAGTCATAGTAGTTCTAGTGGGTTTGTAACAGTTGCTCTTACTGTTCTACCTGCCAGTGTTGCTACTGCAAGTATGTTTTGGGCTCTGGGGTTGTCAGAATTCGGGGCTTGAGGGCTTGGTCCGCAAACCAATGACTCCAGCAGCTACACTGGCCACGTCTAAGAAAATGTCGTAGCGGAGGCGGCCCACACATCTCAAACAGGTCTGTGGCCCATAAGAAATGCAAAGAGGCTAGGTGGATCTCAGCTCGGACCCAAAAGCCCCTCCTCCTGAGGTTGAATTTGTATCCGCAGTACTTATGACTGTATACCTACATACATTCATACCTGCTTCTAAAGATGAAGCCGGGAGAACGCCCTACTTCACACGAGTGTCAAAGTCATCCTTTTTCAATGTCAGTGTGTCGGAGGCATGCGCCACTTCTTAGGGAAGTGAGGCTGGGCCGCAAGCTAACTAACCACTACTTTTACTGCAGCTACTACTTACTACTGCTACCAATCCGGCTGCTAGTGCTAGTGGTGCTATTGACATTTTCGCCGCTGTCTTTGCCATTACTCTTACAACGACGCAACATGCATACACAAAAACTGTTCTCAACAATGAAATACCGTGTTCGTTCAATCATGCTTGGTGTTGTCGGCAATGTCGTGTTGCTGGGCAACTCTCCAAAATATAGTGTAAACGTTTAATAGCTTTGGATGCACAATTGGGACGCCAGCTTCGGAAACTACCCCCTGCTGCTGCTGCTGCTGCTGCTGCTGCTATTGCTGCTGCATTTATGTCAAGAACTCCAAGGCTATGCCAACCCCCAACATTATGTAGCAAGGGTCTATCTGGTGAATCCACTGATTTGGCAATCTTAGAGCTAGCTATTCAAAGTGAGGTCCTCAAGAATCCGACCTGCTGGAATGCTTACTAGGAAGATCCCGCAGTCTTGACACCAAACGCTTTCGCAACATCCTGAGAGGGGCAGTGGTGCGTAGATCCCACGGAAAACAATGCTGTGGCCGTGCACTTCCATGGCACCAGAATCTTATGATGGTACCCTTTTCAATGGATCCTTTTTAGTATGGACGGGTAACACGACCATGAAGACGTATTGAAATATTTCACATCCAGCAATACATGTTTAGTAAGGAGCAGTTGACTCGTTGCGTACTTGTCAGATTGAATCCTGATGTCTTTACATCCCGGAGGCACCATGGTCGGCATACTCCCCCCTTCCCAACTAAGAACCAGGAGAAGGGCTCTAACCTCACTAAACCACTAGTAACGTTCTGCAATCATCAAAAATACTCTGCCCGAGCAGGCCCATGACCCAAGCCGCCCTTTGACACCTTGAACACCAAATCTTAAATCCCATACCCTCAACATCTAGACCCTGATGAAACCCTCTAGACTCTCTCAAACCCTCACACCCCCAACACACCGAAGTCCTAGCTAGACTCTCAACCTTAAAGGGTTATGTATATATATATATAGGGATAATGGAAAGGAAAATGGAAACTACTCTAGTATATTGGGGTTATATACTATTGGGGTTATATGTATATACATGTATGGTGCTTTCCCAAAATAGGGGACCCCAATATAGACCCTAAAATACTATGATCCTTATTATGGAGGCCCCCAAGATGATACCCTTAATTTTGGGAAACCCCCAATATATATATATATATATCCTTAAACCCTAGACCCTCAGCGAAATCCGTGTCTGAGGCTCGGTCCGCTGCGCGGCCGCCGAAGCCAGGCAAGGCCCCGACTTCGTCCATATCCTCCTCATCTTCTGCGTCCTCAGCAGGGATTGCTATTAGTATTACTATTACGATTAATAATGCTATTTATATTGTTATTCGTATTATTGCTATCATCTTCTGCGTCCTCAGCACCAGGAAAGGGTGGGGGTATTGCTAATATAATATAGTATATTAGGTGAAAATATACGACATTGAAGAACCTCATCTTCTGCGTCCT